CTTCTTGCTCTGAAAAGCCCTGGGTGCTTTGCTGCCCCGCTCACCCATGGGCTGCTGAGAGCAGCCCCACACTTGCAGGTCGGCATTAGCCCCATTTTCCACATTTTATTTGTGAAACCCTATTTCAGAGCAAGGTGAAAGCCACTGGCACAGCCGCTGGCACTCAGCACAGCACCAGCCCTGAGAGGAGGTGCCTTTGATGGTATTGCAAAGTAAAATCTTTCTCATTTATTTCACAAATGCACACACAGGTTTTGTGAAACACACTTTATATAGAAATGCGTATTTATACACAAGCGTATGTGTACATACAGACATGTACTCACAAGCTAACAAACATGGGAGCTTTCTCCTCCTTAACGGCAGCATAATTTCAACACGCAAACAACGGCAGCAGATAATACGATAGCTTCCTCCAAATTTCCAGCGAAAAATCTTTTTTTTATTATTTTTAAAATTTTTTTTTTAGTAACAGAAACTTTTTTTTTTTGCTTCTGATTTGTCTGTAAATGTACGGCACCAACCAAACGCACACAGGTCTGCGTGTGCTCACACAGAGATGTGGGGAACTCACATCAACTTGGCTGCTCTCCCCTGTACTAAGTTAATAAAATAAAATAAAAAATAAAATAAAAAATATAATAATAATAATAATAATAATGGGGACCTGCCAGGGTACCAGGACGTGTCCCAATCAACCCACTGGTTTGCCCAGTGCCTGCAGAGAGAAAATATCTGGAATACAAGCCCTGAGCTCTGCTTTGTGCTTTGCGAGGGAGGCGGCCGGGCCGGGGTCGGGTCCGCGCTGCCCCCCCACCCGCGGAACGCCTGGCGTTTGCCTCCCTTGTTTTTTAACGAAAGGGCTGGGTAGACCGGGAGTCCCGGGAAGGGCGCTGTGGGCTCGGCTCTTCACACCTGAGGAGTTTGGGGGCTGATGTGACCCCCCACGCTGCTTTCACACCTTGGTAACTATTAATTTCGTCAGGGTGAGGTCAGGAAATTCTCAAAGCACAGAGCAGGTCGGTAACTGAATTTTATAAGGGCTCCACAATTAGTGGTGTCCAGGGCATAAAAACGCTTTGAGAAAAGTCTTTGACAAAATATCCATGTCTTTTCCTCTCTATGTTGCTATTAAAAAAAATGGGCCTTTTCTGTCCGGCGGAGAAACCTTGTCGCAGTTATCCATGCCTTTGACACCTTGACACTGTATTATGTTATCGCCGTGCACTCCTTGCGGGGCTGTGTGCTGAGACCCTTGGAAACTGGAGCTGGTGCACAATGTGGAGCTTCATGCCAAGAACGCTTTCGATCAGCTTTGCTGGTTGTTAATAAGTTCCTGGGCAGAATTCAAGGTGTTAGTTTGAAACCTATAAAGCCCCAAATGGTTACCCAGGAGGCTGCTCCCCTTCCTGCCGTACAGCGCTTGTGACTGGGAGCAGCCAGAGACACTTGACCTTGGCTTTGGAATTCACTTCCCAAATCCATCCACCTGGGCTGGGGTCTGTCAAAAGTTAGCGTGTGCTGTAAGCTCAGCTTGTCTGCCTGACGACCCAGTAGGGGACGGTATGAGGTACTGTGGGTTTGCTTTGTGCTGGTGGCGGGGTGTAATTTTACCTACTGGTGAGTGGTTTTTGTATTTTGGTGGGTTTTTTTTTTTCTTTTAAGGGGAAGGGATCGTCACCCGCGGGAGGGGAAGGTGCTGCCGAACGGGTGCCACGGCAATACGGGTGGAAACCCGGAGCACAAAGGCGGTCCGGTCCCCCGGTACCGGAGCCTGCACCGAACACCCGCCCCAAGGGAAAGCACCGAATCGGGGACTCTTTTAAAAAGACTTTCTGCGGGGAGGGAACCTCATTCCTTCGCATGAGAAAAAAAAAAAAAAAAAAAAAAAAAAGAAAAAACCTCTTCCAATTCATTTCTCTGCAGCGTGCAAACGACTTTCCCAGCGGCGATTAATCAATCCCCCCCCCGGCCCCTTGGCCAGAGGCTGGCGGCACCCGGGCACGATTCCCACAGGCTTTGGCAGAAGTTTGTACTTCGGTGAGATTTGCAAAACAATATTCATAAATAATATTCGGAATTATAGTTTTAACAATGCCGTCTGCAAAGCTGGGGCTGTCAGGGGGGAGATTCCCCCGGGCCCGGCTCCCCAAAACCTTGCTGAAGCAGATGCTGAGAGGCACGGTCCCGGCTAAAATAAGGAGGCTGGGCAGTGTGGAAATAGAAAAATCTGCGCTTGAATGGCGATTAGAAATGAAAATGTCAAGTATTTTCCTCGCCCACAGGATGAAATATCGAGGCGCTGCTGGGGTGGGGGGTGGGGGGGGTGACCTCGGCGGAGGCAGCGGGGCCGAATTCCCCTTGGGAAGGCATTCCCTGCCCCGGGGCAATACCCCGCCGCCCGGGAGCCGTGCAGATGCGCAGCCGGGGCAGGATCAGTCCCCGGGCGTCCAACGCCACGGAACCGGTGGCCGGGAGCCGGCAGCGGCCGCAGGGCTCGGCGCTGGAGCAGCAGGGGGATTGCGGGGCGGTGGAAACTTCTACAGCAGCCCACCCTCGCGTATTTTAGTCCCCGCTACTAATTTTTGCGTTTAACTAAATAATAATCGTCATCATGATACCTCGTTGGATTATCGCCTGATAATTCCTGTTACGGTACAGAAATGGCAATGTCACGGGCGAGGGAGCTCGGCGGCACCCAGAAGGGCGAGACCAAGGGAGTCTTGCTGGAGACGATTGCTGCTCCGGGGTGATTTAGGCACCTTAAACCCCGTGG